TGAGATAAAATATAGTTATTGAATAAATTGCGATTTCTTGATTCATAGAATCTATTTTTCTACATTTACGCTTGTGGTTGTATTGAGCCTAAAACATTGGACGGTGTTTTTGTTAAAAAAAAAACAATCGTCCGATCCGAAAAACATCGCCTGCGAGTCGCCCGAGCGATCCCCGCGAGAGGACTTTTAAACGCAATGACCCCAAAAAGTAATCGTCCGAATGTCATTAGCTTTTAAGTACTACTTAAAACCTGACGGCGCCTGCCCGATGAGCAAAATGTTCATATGCCGCCGTCCGATTGTCACGTTGGTCGGACGGACATCGGCTGATATTACATTTTTTTATTTTAAGAAATAGACGCTCGTCATTTGTGACTTAGACATACATTTATTGAAACTTTTAAACATGTATATACAATTTATTATTTACCTTTATCAGATAAGGTGTTCTTATTATTTTCCATCGTATTCCATTATATTATGTTTTAAACGATTTAAGGGCACTTAGAGTTAATTGACAAGTGGTGAAAACATCACGTTTATTGAATTGAAGACGTTCATTTTTTTGTATTCACTCTTTGAACTATTACATTTAAACTAGTCATCATCTTATATTATACATAGTCTTATACCGCATATACATGTTTTCTTTGTTTTTATAGAGTATTTTGATTAAAGGTTGTAACATCGATATCGGCGACAATCAGGATAAACTTTTTATTGACGCTAGTAAAACAGACACATACAAAAAAGGAAACACGGTTATTACAGGCCGACTTAATAATTCCAATTGTCCAGTGAAATATGTAGAAAAATGTATTAATTGAAATGTAATAAAGAAAGTGATGAATTATTATTCAGACGAATTTCGTTTTGTAAATAGAGCAATTGTCATATATTAGGAAAGGTCAGCAAATATCATATACAACAGATAGAGATAATATGTTGGACAATTTAAAATCCATCGGTTTAGACAAATCGCAATTCAGTTTGCATTAATTAAGATCAGGTGGTGCTACTAGTGCAGCCCGTAATAGAGTTTTAGACAAATTATGTAAGGAACATGGTCGATGACGATTAGAACATGTGATGATGTTATGAGAATATCAGTTTCATTAAATCTTGGAATTGAGATTCCCGAATATTTTTAGTCGGAATAAATATTCAGTGTGTCATTGCTACCCTTACAAAATATGTGCTATTTATTATGACATTAATGATGAAATAATAAATAATTAATGTTGGCTGAATGAAATGAAAGAAAACATATAAATATACCTATTTACGTTACGTTAAGGTTATTATTTTTGGTTTAAGTTATTAAATTAATATTTATGAAAATATATCATACGCTAGGTTTGGCGGCAATATGTTACTTACATGTAGATTAGGAACTACAGTAAATATAGCGAGTAGCGGCGTACTGTCACCATCGAAGCTCTTGACACACTGACAGAACGACTATTTGAATTTATCTTCCTATCCAAATAATTAAAACTTTGTTTTTTTTTTTATAAATAGAAATATGTAATGTGGTTTTAATTTTGTTTTTTTATTTTTCAGAGTTGACAATTTTTAATATTGTCTTAACGAATATGGATAAGAAGTATGAATGAAACTGTTCTGACCGACCTAGTTTATTATTTGTGTTAAGACGATGTATCCAGGATGAATAAATAGTGATTCTCGGAGCCACTGATATGTATATATGAATTGGAAAGAGTGGTCGGCGACATGGGATTTTACCATAATTTATTCGGAAAATTAAATGTTAAGTGCCAGGCCACATTTATTTAAATCATTATAAGTACATGTATTTATGTGTTTGTACATTTCGTCGATGTATGTCTGTCTATAGAAAAGAAATATTCAGTATGTCATTGCTACTCCTATAAAGTGTGTGTTGTTTATTATAACTTTAAATTAGATAATAAATAATTTATGTTTGACTGAAAGAAATGGAAGTAAATATGAAGATATTTTAACATCATATATTGTGTTTGCAGGTATTCTAAACGGTTTGTTTACCACTAAATCATTCAAACCATATATATATTTTTTCACATGTCTTTTCACGATGATCAAAAGATGCATACTTTTTCTACTTTTGCGCATTATATTTGTTTGCACGCGATCATTAATTACTGTACCATTTTGCAGTGACGACGATAAACAAATGCGAATGTAAACATTCACAATCATCATGTTATACATTCTGAGCGATATTTATAGAAAAATTCGTTTTGAAACAGGATGTCATTTAAACTTGGTATATAAACTTGAGCTTTTGGCTAAACGTCAGGTTATTTCAATTTTTACATATCCACTGACTTTTTTTATTTTTGGATGTACAGATACCGATACTTTGATAAATCAAATGGAGACTGCATATGGTTCACATATTCAAGTATTCTTTACTCTTCCTGACAAAACTAATATACTAAGATAAAAATTAATGATACTGAATTCATTTTCAGGAATGGATCAAAACTTTGCGCAAAGAATGTTCTATGGTGCTTTTATCTGTTCATACAGGTACTTTCTGACATTGGTATGTCTTTAACTCATTAAAGAGCAAACTTTTTCACGAAAGGCCATTATCTTTATAAGATTTTATTTTAAATTTATTTTTACAATGTTACAAACGCACACAAACCTGTAATTTCACGCTGATCAAAAAATGCATATTTTTTCTACTGTTGCGCATTATATTTGTTTGCACGCGATTATTAATTACTGTACCATTTTGCAGTGGCGACGATAAACAAATGCGAATGTAAACATGTACATTCATCATGTTATAGGTCAAGTAATATGACTGAGACCGTGATAAGATGAGCAGAATTCTATTCAAGTTTTGTCCAAAAAAAATTTGCAACAGAAATAAAGTCTGCAGCAATAAAAACATGACAAAATTGAAGAAAATTGCAGAATTTGGAGCCAGTAGCAAAAAAAAAAAAAAAAAAAATAAAAAAAAAAACAAAAAAAAAACAACACTTATACGGTACGTTGTCTTAGACCGAACCCAATATTGAACTTCTATTACACAATTTTTAAGTTTCGTCATTAGTATTAGGTCAATAACGCACATTAAATGTATTGCCATAAAAATGTGTTGTTCTGTCTGAAACTGATCACCATACTTAAATTATTTCCGTCAGTTTATATATACTTCTGTTGGACAAAATGCCCGAACATAGTAAGCTCCTTTTTAAGTCTTTTCAAAGTTTGATGAAAAAAGTTTACACAACCTTTAAAAAAAAAGAAGAAAAAGAAAACAAATTCTACCAAATATTTGCTTTTGAACAAATTGCTAAGTGTAAATGACTGCTATAGTGTATTTCTTTACTCTTTGAGTTTCAATGAAATTAACTTTTATTTACAAATAATCTCGGTGCAACCATTATTTGGAAACAACCAATCCACGGCGATCCTGGAGAGTCGTCTTTTTTTTTTGTTTTCTTGTGTGTTTTTTTTTTTTTTTGGGGGGGGGTGGTGATTTATTTTCCTTCCAACTCATCCAGATCAGGTGCGCGATTTGTTATCGAACAAGACAAGAATGTCACGCAAATATATTTGACGCAAAATGGAAATCAGAACCATAAGTATTTGTTAGAATAAGTATGCTCGAAATATCTGATATATTTTTCAGCTTTAAAATGTGTATAACTTTATGTAAAGACTGAATGTTTGTAACAAAAAATCGGCTTGTCTACAGGACAAGGTCACTGCCTAAGCTCCGATGATTCCTAAATTATACTTTACAGAAAAAATACGTTACCACCACATTGTAGTCATCTCCTCCAACCTCTTGTTGTAAGCTGTTTTGGCATATCATATGCTGCATGGACCTCAGCATGTCACAGTTTCATTCGTGAATCGGGTGGTGATAACGCGATATAGGTTTGTATAATAGCCTGCAAAAATCCTTGAAACATCCAGACTGCATTTAGAAAAATGCAAAAAATTACATCCCTTTGACAAATCCGTTATTGAAGAATGCTGCCAAAGTTGCTCGGACCAAATCCTCTGATCCTTCTGACAGGAATCGCAAATCTGCGACATTTATCAGTCCATGGAAGATCTCAGGCTGCTGGGTCGTTTTTTATTGACCAGTCGGTTTAAAATTACAACTGCGTGATACACTTAATCATTATCGAATTTAAAATGATAACGTGATATGAGTCGGATTTAACAGTTCTCAGAGACGGATTCGTTTCTTGAAAAAAAAACGGAATTATCGAAAGCATTGCTTAATGATTTATGATATAAGATTTTAAATATGTATTGTATTACATATAACGTATAAATGACAAACATACCTGGTAATACACCATACGTCTAATTTGTAATATTAATTTCAAACATTGCGAACAGTATTTGACAATGTTAATATAATAATCTTTTCATACGGTATAATTTCTTTAATAGTATCCCTTTAGGTCTCAACCCGGTACGGAATTAGACCGAACCCGTTGTAGTCTAGAAAGTAGTTCTTTAAAATTTTGAAGTGGCCCAATTTAAGTCAGCTTTCGTTAGATTGGTCATAATTAAAGTGTATTAATTGCATGTGTGTAGTTTTTGTGTGTTATATGATGACTTTAAAAGTTGATTTTTGTGTATTCTCCAGGAACTCATTTGATGGCGGAAGGATTAAAGATGTACTACCAACCAGCTGTCAGGATTTTTTAAAGTGATGAATTTAAAACAGTGTTACAACAGAATGAAGATTTCTGTAAAAAGTAGATGGCTAACCTATTATATTTTGGGCCTCATTGGACTAAGATAGTGTTAATGTTTAAAGTTGAAGACAGTATATAATACATCGAGAACAGTGGAATCCAGAATTAAGCCTCAAATGTGACTGATTAACTATAGAACAAATAGTACGAACATTCATCGGGCCGAGTCCTTTAATGAGTGTTTGAAATGAGAATATATTTATCTGGGCTATAAGTATAAACCTGTTATTATCTTAGTGTACCTGACACATATACACACGTCAGTACAAATATTGGGTATTGTACAACCTACAAGGAAGTTCACTACATAGTTATTACGACTTGTTTATGATATTTTGTAGTTTAAAAACGTATAGTGAGAAAACATTCACTCTGGAATAATGGACATCAGGTAAGTCTTACCATACACAATTATGATTAATTGTTAAAATATATCCATATCATAGAAAGTGGTTGTGAAGAAGGTATCGAACAAACCATCCGCGAAACGAGCAGTTTATATCCACATATTACTCTGTTTAAGATACATGTACTTCGATGATATCACTATGTTTTCATTTGTGTAAATATAATGACTAAATGCCGAAATCAAATCAAAATTGTCTGTGTTTTTGTTGTTGTTGTTGATTTTTTGATTGTGCGTGTGATTTTCTTCTTACATTTGTCTTTTAATCTTATTGAACAATTTGTAATCAAATTACGACAATACAATATTTACTAGTAATTGCATTTTAGTTCTAGTTTGATAAAAAAAGTTTTTCAAAAATATTTTGGAAACGAGGCTATAAGCAGGAGGTTTTTAGACTATCTGATGCAGAATGGAAACAAAACTTAATGGCTTCACTGCAACCATTACAACAGATTAAAATATGTCGACAAAATTTGTTTCATCATCATCATCATCATCATCATCATCATCATCATCATCATTGTCATTGTTATCATTTTTATGATTTTAGTTATTATCATTGTAATCATTATTATGATTATAGTTATTATTATTATTATCATTAGTATTGTTATTATTGTTATTATTATCATTATTATCATTATATTATTATTATTATTATAATTATCATGATTATCATGATTATCATTATTATTTATTATTATTACTATTATTATTACTATTATTATTATTATTATTATTATTATTATTATTATTATTATTATTAAGTAATAGTAAACTGTTATAGAATATAAACGAGGTCTTTACCGGCTGGTATCAGCGCATGGGGCGACAAAAGGGTCAATCATGGGAAATTAATCGAGACGGAACCTCGAGTATTTATTCTGTAACTGTTTTATCGCATGACCATCATGACTTTTTTCTTCTCTCGTAATATTTGCTTTATTTAAACATATAAATATTTTAAGAAATACCCACAGAAATACACCCATTAGATGCCGTTCATAAATAACCATTTCACGAGGTAAGTTGATGCATATTTTCTAAATGCGAAATAATAATCATCTTTCCAGCTCATTTTAAAAATATAATCTAGGAAATATTGTCGATAAGTATCCCGGTTATTTTTCAGAGGTATATCTTGTAAGCGTATGTTGTAGTGATTTTTACTTAAAGGCACATTATGGCTGGCTCAGAAATCCTTTTTTATTGAATTCTTTAGAAATGTAAAAACACATGTTTAATAATGTTTTAATAATGGATTTAGAACATGTAAGATATTTAACTGCTGAAGAAAGTAGTGCTGAATATGCAGTAATGTGTCGTAAAGGTAGCAAAATGTAAACAAATAGTATTTTGACTTCCAAACAAAATACTTGGTCCAGGGGTTAGAGTCGATGACTTCTAATCCAGTTACCTCTCTGGCGTGGGTTCGATCCCCGGGAGATGCTTAGGTAGTTTAGCGCGGAGGAAGGTAGTCTAGTACTGGTGTAACTCTCCAGGAACGATTGTTAGGAAACTACCCGCCTATATGACTGAAATACTGTTGAAAAAAAGGCGTAACATGAAACAAACAAACAAACAAACAAACAAAATACTAATTCATTATTATAATTATACCAATTGCAAGCAAAGCAAAAGATGCAAAGATAGTTCATTTATATGGCAAATAAGTATTTTTGTGGAACTTGTAACAAGACACCAAAGATTTAAAATTTTGAGAAATAAAAATGATAGCATTTCTGACGCATAATGTGCCTTTAACACTACTTCCATCTATTAATAATTACGCTAAAATATTATGTTCATATACGTGCAGTGATTACTGAATGGCTTACTGGTCAGAATCTCCTGTAAAATGAAGGCATTGTTTAAAGTAAAAAAAAAAAAAAGAATAAATTTATTTGATCATTGTTTCAGATTTGTCCTCGAGGTCAGGATGCAGAAAATGGCGATTACTTTCCAGTGGAGTTAACATCTTTATAATAACTGCATTTTCAGGTGTTGAAAAAAACCCAAAAAGATCGAGATGATATATAAATTCTTTTTTTTAAAAGTTCTGTAAACTGTCTAATGGTTTGTTTTGCTCTTTTTCAGGAATGCTCACTTTATTATTTCAAATAAAATAGTAAACTGGGCATGCGCGAGAAAGTGTACTGATACCTCATTTAGAGCACCCAAAAGCGTACTGATACCTCATTTAGAGCACCCCCAAAGTTTTCCAATACTGGAATTTAGAGAAAGGAAAGTTGTGGCGGTCATGCAATAATAATATTATTATTATTATTATTATTATTGTTATCATTATTAGTATTATTATTATTATAATCGTTATCATTATTCTTCTTCCTATTATTATTTTTTTTATTATTCTAATTATTATCATTATTATCTTTATTATTATTATTATTATTATTATTATTATTCTTTTATTATTATTTCTATTTTTATCATTATAATCAATATTATTATTGTTGTTTTTATTTTTATTATTATCATTATAATTATCATTATTATAATTATTATTATTATTATTATTATTATTATTATTAGTATTATTATTATTTTTATTATTATTATTATTATTATTATCATTATTATTATAACTATCTTTAATATTATCATTATTATTATTATTTTTTTATTATTATTACTATTATTACTATTATTGTAAATGCCATTGCTTTAATAACAATGATAGTATTACATATTTTTAACATTGATAATAAATGCAATTAAAAGCAACATTATGTTCATTGTGTTGCAGTCAACTTGTGTTGATTTATTAAAATATAAACGGACTATTATAATGGTAATTGATCAATTATTGATAATGCAAATGAAAATGCTTAATAAAAAAAAGACCTGAATTATAAAAATGACCGGTCCATTCTTTTTAAGAATTGAGCATTGCCGATACATTCTAAGCGATATTTATAGAAATATCCCGTTTTGTAACAGGATGTCATATAAACTCGTAATATAAACTTGAGCTTTTGGCTAAACATCAGGCTATTTAAATTTTTACATATCCACTGACTTTTTTATTTTTAGATGTACAGATATCGATACTTAGATAAATCAAATGGAGACTGCATTCCATTGTTCACATATTCATTACAAGTATTCTTTACTATGCCTGGCAAAACTAATATACTAAGATAAAAATTAATAATACTGAATTCATTTTCAGGAATGGATCAAAACTTTGCGCAAAGAATGTTCTATGGTGCTTTTATCTTTTCATGCTGGTACTCTCTGATATTGGTATGTCTTTTTAACTCATTAAAGATCAAACTTTTAAACGGAAGGCCATTATCTTTATAAGATATTTTTTTTAATTTTACAATGTTACAAACGCACACAAACCTGTAAATACTAACGAACCTAACAGTTATAACTATTGATTTTCCTTTTTGCTCTGTTCCTAGTATTAACTTTTTTGTACATTTACGCAAATCATTTAGGAAGTGATTTGTGTTTATAAGAAATCTATTCCTTCGCAATGAAATATCAAACTATTAAGTTTTTATAAGTTCACACAATGAGTTTAACCTTTTCTTTTTATGATACTTAAAGTTTCGTTTTATCACGGCACCCATTTTGCATCTTGTTGGGTAATCTTGTAAATATTTCAATGAACTATGGAACGATTTATCTCGGTCATTTTTGAATATATTGCAAACTTTTTTTCATGTGCATTCTTATCTTATTGGACCCTCACGTTATATAGGTGTAATGACAAATACAATACAGCTTACACCAACTCAGTTATATGCCAAGGAAAATTCAAGTGCAACACTCACATGTTCAAGGACGGACGGGAAATCTATTTTAGAAACAATTTGGAAAAACTCTGAGATAAGTGACTACGCAAATCTATATTACTTTAACGGACAATGTGTAACAACGCGGTTTCTAAAAGACAGTAATTTATTTGATGGTCTGTGCAATGGTGATGGGACTTATTCCGTGATTCTAAAGAAAATTGATCGTACTCAACATGGAGCTGAATGGACATGTGAAGAGCTTATTTCAATTTCTAACAAAGTCGTGATACAAGTATTAGGTATATGATAGGTAAAACGTATCTAAAGTATTGTTCCATTTATTTACTTAATATGAAGATTCTGCATTTAATTAACAGTTATAATGGATTTTTGATTATTTTGTTTTGAATAACTGATGTGTCCATGCTTTAGTTAACCTATTGTTCATTATAACAAAGAAACAACATAGGCTAACCATTTTCATTTGTGTATATTAGTTTACAACTATTACATACAATCCGAGTATATACTTATTGTATACTATGCATACCTTCATTGATTTTAAAATGTTGTAGTTCCTGCTACAAGCCTGACATTGAGTCAACCAAATTGGGATTTTATAAAAGAAAATACGACAGGGAAAGTCATATGCAGAACATCAGCATGCCGACCAGAACCACGAGTACATTGGTATGTCCGTAACAGTAAAACAAATTTCGTATATAACCTTACACAGTCATCAACCAAAACATACATTGACGGTGATTATGGTCTCAAAGCCGTAGAAAGTATACTACAATTTAGTCCAAATAGGACGATTAATAACTTACGTCTGTATTGTGAAGTGATGACACAAGCTAATGAAGCTGATATAAAGAGCAGCGAATTCATAGTTAATGTTACATGTAAGTTTATTTCGGTTTGTTTAAAATATAACTTTCTTTTACCAAAATTACGTGAAAGAGTCATGTTACAGTGGTGCTATGTGATCATTACAGGCGTTATATAATAGATTTATGAATATTGCGAAATAATTGTGATTGACGTCTATTCATTTTGATATCCCAGCCTTGAGCTTGTCACTTGAAGTTTAGCAACTAAAGATTTGAATTTCTAATATTAACGCTGTAAAAAAACTTTACTTACATCTTAAATATCCTCCGCCATTTTTCCTTCTAGTCCGATTTAAATGAATTTAGTCTTAATTTTGATATTTCAAAGCTGTTTGACAATGATACATGTACATATTTCTGCTAATTATGATTTGTTGACATTTTGTTTTCGCAGGGGACTTTATTCTATTCAGTTAAATGACAACCGAAAAAACATTTAGGTGTTATTATAGGAAGCAAATAGTTCTTTGTCTATCTCGTTGCAACGAGAAATAACTCAGAAAAAAAATGTATCTCGTGGCCCCAAGGAACAGCTAAAAACAAAAAGGATTGATTTCATTCTTAGAAAGATACATTTAACAAATTATTCTACGTTGAAACACAAAGAGATAATTCATAAAAAGATGATTACCAACGTTTTCTATATATTAACATATAACTGGTATATTACAGATATACATATAAACAACTATTAGAATAATAACAACTTTATGAAACACATGTCATTGTGAATGTGTTTAAGAAAATGTACTTATTGTTTCAGTTTAATGTATCTCAATAAAAACAACATGTCAGTTGTGTCAATTAATTTATTATTACAAGCTTTTATTTTTTTTATTTCAGATCCCCCAGATAATTCACCTTTGATACAAGGGGTGGAAACTAACGAAGTCTTACAGGTCATTGAGACGGATACAAACACATTTGTTTGTTCGATTACCGGAGGAAACCCTCTTGCATCATTGAGCTGGAAATGTTTTGACAGTCTTGAAATAACATCAATATCCCAAGGCAGCACAGTTTTAAGTACTGTAAAATGGGTGGCACTGCGCAATTTTAGCACATGCTCTTGTACATCTCACCACACATTAAGTAATTGGAAAAGGACAACAGATGTAAAAATTAATGTACAATGTATGTTTTTTGGATTGTAATATGTTTATACAAGTAAGGCAAACATATTATTTAATGTATATAAAAAGGCTAGGCATCGGTCGTTATAAACAATATAAACAAGTGATATTAGATAGTTTAATTGTTCTTCCGGAAATTAAATTGTACAATTTACCATGATTACGAACATTGACTTAAAATGATATTTTGTTCTTTTTAGTTTATTGAACATTTACTGTTCGATACTATTCACGTATTTGTTGAAATAGGTTGGACATAATGTTTACATTTTAATGATTTAAATTAAAATAAAACACTTGTAAGTCATCAAGTCGTTTAAATTATATGTCTTGTTTTTAGATATAATTGCGTTTTATTTAAGACCCTCCAGACAAGCCACATTTTAAAATTGGACAAACAAGTGTTTTTGGTGATGTTCGTGTTATTCTAAACAACACATTGCGCGTTGTCTGCAATAGCGAAAGTAATCCTTTACCTTACTACACATGGACTGGCCCAGGTTTTTCTGGTAATGGTGACACTTTAGAAATAGCACACGTTAAAATATACTATCAGGGAGATTACAAATGCAAGGCGTCAAATAGGATGACACGAACGAATGCTTCATATAAAGCCGGGAGTCAGTCATCATCACTCAGTTTAACAATACTGTGTAAGTACACATCATTTCAATGAATTAAACAAAAACAGGTTGGTTTGATCACACACATTTTTTAAATATTACATTAATATATGAATTTTAAAAAGAAAGAAATGTTATTACAAATAATTTTAATATATATCAAGCATGTTATTATCGGTTACATATATTTTTTATTGACAATTACATTGTATGTTTCGTTCCACAAAATATGTAACTATTTTTGATAATTTCAGATCCTCCAAGCAATCCAAAGTTCAAATTTGAAAACTCCAGCGGTCAGCTCATTCAGTCAAATATATTTTACGGTATAAGAAACGATACGTTTTCCATTTACTGTGATGTAAAAGGGAGCCCTGTTCCTGACATTAAATGGGATGATAACAAAAGCAATCCAACTCTGAGTATATCTAACATCAATTTGGACATAAATAGTACGTGCAGAGCAACAAATGTGATGAAAGAAACTGCGAGTCAAAGGGACATAAATTCGAAATCGGAAGCATCGCTTTCAATTATTGTCTTGTGTAGGTGTATAATTGCCATTTCTTAGCTAAAGTCAACACATAATTTATTAAAATATTTGAAAAAAAAAAGAATATAATCACATCAATTGTCCACATTAAAACATTCACAATTAAATATTGTTTTTTGTGACTAAATATATTCGTCATTGTTTACTTATTATTATAACATTCAAAGGTGAAGTAGCACTTACACGCAATACTCGATACAAATTAATTTTAATCATCTTATGTCAGTTATATAGCAATCTCATTACATTTCATTGTATTCAAGATCCTCCAAGTCTTCCTACAATACACGTTTCAAACTATAATGGTGACAGCGTTCAAGTTCAAAACGGAAACCTCAGTATAACAGAAACTGAAACAATAAATGTGACATGTTTTTCCAACAGTAAACCATTACCATCTTATAAATGGATAAATGAGAAATCATTTAAAACACAGTCTACAAACATTTTGAAATTTGTTAATATCAGTCGACACGAAAGTGGAATATATGCTTGCAGCGTTGCAAATTATATGAGGAGGTCCATTGGCGGAACTGAAGTGGGGAAAAGTACCTTAAAAATTATTTTAAACATATTATGTAAGTATATAATTCAATAATCTTATTATCAAAAACATAAAATTCAAGAGGAACGGTCAGGCAAAATGTTTTTTCGGGATTTTTTTACATTATTCAAATAATCAAATGTAGGGATTAAATTGCGACCTACTAGAATATTATTGATACTGTTTTGTTTCTACAAGTCGCTCTTACCGCATTTTGCATTTATTACATATGATGGAAATTCATTGAAGGAACATTGATCATTGCATATGATCTTTTTCCTCACTGAATTACCCATACTTAATTCAGTTGTATTTGTTCTGTTCACTAGTACTTTGTTCATAGTCTCAATAATTTCAACGTTGGATATTTATTATTCATTTGTTTGTGTTCAATAATTATTGAAAGATATACGCCTCTGATATTCTCAAACACAAAGTAAGGCGACCTGTTCAAAGAATTGAAACGCTTAAAATGTTATAATATAATTTTACTACGCTTACGTGAATTTGATGATTTCATCTAAACATTTCTCGTTTATACTGTATTTATCCAATTAACACTTTATATTATTGATCTTCTGTTTTGATAAGACTTATTTCGGTTTTTTACAACAAAACTTTTTATTCCTCCATACAAATAGTTTGTTTAAAAAAAACTATACTTTGTTGTTTACAGATCCAGCTATTTTGAATCCAATATATGATATAAGTATTACTGAAGGATCGCCCTTTGAAATATCATGTCCGGTTAAATATGAAAATCCTTCAAACTCCACAATTACATGGTCAAAACTTAGTGACGAAAATCGATGGAACAACAAACAATTATCTTTCAAGAACGTTTCAAGAGAAGACGGTGGAAACTACACCTGTATTGTAATTACGGAAATGTATCCTACGATCGGTAGTTCTTCAAAAATAGAAAGAAGACAATCTTTTCATCTCAATGTTTTCTGTAAGATATTAACATGCTTCCCCGGTAAAATGACAAAAGATTGATAATGTGATATTCTTTGGAAGTTTACAATAAATAAAGTATTCATTCCTAACTAAGATTTCTAAAATAGATACATAGATTAAGACCGGACTAGTTTTCAGTCATGTTTTTATAATATCCTTATTTATTTCAGTTCCATCAGAAATACACAAATTTTCGATATCTACGGAAACATCAGGTCGAACCTTTGTAGCTAACAGAACTCAAAATTTATCGTTCGAATGCATTGCTAAAGCCAATCCTTCATCAGATTTAAAAATAAAGTCTCCAAGGGGGGATTATATTATCGAGGTATCACAGTCAAATATTGCTCGTTATACATTACACAATGCATCATTCAAAGATGCTGGAGAATATATTTGTACTGGAAGAAACAAGTACACAAAGGACACACCATCACAGTCAAAACTGATTCTTATAGTTAAAAGTAAGAACTCAAACGCTATTTATCCAATGCAAAGCATGGCAAGAGTAAATAACATTGAAATGTAATAAATAACTTACACCGTTATTATGATAATTTAATACACATGTATTTGAAATTTATATTAAACATCTGAATGCATTGCACGTGAAATTACATTGTAATTATAAATGTCAAATGGGAAAACTATCTATCTGCAGGCCGACCAAGACCATCATCTGGCGACACAAGTGTTACGAAAGTGGCAACAGTTCTGAACGTTAATGTAACACTATCATTTCAAGCTAGGAATTATCTTGATGAACCAAACAAAACAATGTTCATTTGGTTGAAGGAGAATGTTTCCATTTCCGATAATGACAATAAATACCTGATACATACAAATGATTTACAAACAAATATTATTATAAGGAACACAACTCAGCAGGATTTAGGGTATTATAAAGTTGAGGTTGAAAATTCAGTTGGATTATATACTCACTATTATGAATTGAGAGCCACAAGTAAGTGAAGTTTATCTTTTGTTATTATATGTTATAATTAAGGTAGACCATGGGTAATGGGCACCATAAGGAACTGTAAAATTGACAACATAGGACAGTTATATGTCTTCAAGGTCAACTGTATGCAAAATTTAAATAAAATTTACCGTGTGGTTTATGAGTTATGGATATATTTCTAAACTAAGACTTTGCCATTAGAAGGGCATATTTTCAGAAATGAAGAAACTCTAAATAATCTGTAATATCATCATTATAAAAAATGTTTTTCTATCACCAATTGTTAAGAAACAAATAGTAACATTCAGGTAACAAATTACACAAGCAAAATGTTTGTTTCTAAACAAAATGTTCTTAATATGTATAAAAATGTTACCTTACCCCACCCACTTTAAACACTAATTTTATCATTTCCCTATCTAAAATGCCTTATTCAAAATATTCCTAAAATTTACCATAATGAGGGGCTGTTTTCAAAGTTTGCCTTAATCTTTTTAAAGGTATATTAGTTGATCCTGCGAAATATAAAATACTTTTACCGTGTAGTTTTTATTTTATTAAACTTTGAACATATCTTGTATCATATTTTCTATTAATTATGTCATTATTTAGCAAATAAATACCTACAATAATTATATAATTTAAATCAAACCCTTTTTTCTTTCATAAGGGATCAGAGAGATACATAAAAAATGTTAAAAAGAAAATAAAGAAAGAAAAAAAGTTGCCCCTTCTGGGGCTTGAACCCACGCCCCTCAATTTCAATGTAGTTTGCAAGCAATTTTAGCCTATTTGAATACTCCTCAAAGTGGAGGATATGCATTACCCATGGTCTACCTTAACCGTTGATTTAGTGTTTGTATTCAAATAAATCCTGTTGAAGTATTAAATATACAAAATGTCTGAGTGCATCACAATGGTTGCATATAATGAATGTGTTCACACGTGAGTATATTTTAATTTGTATGTTAATGTTTAAAGTATGCACTTTCAAACTAACACTTGAACTTAACCTTGGAAATGTACTAGTTTATGAGTTTATCAAATAGTTATGAATTTACAGATAAACCAGAACGACCATGGGACTTCCGTCTCAGAAACGACTCATTTACAGACCAAACATTTATAATAATTTACAAAATGATTCATGAACTTGTATGGTTGAACAAATCAATAAATGATAATGGTGACACAAATATGAATTATACTTTAAATGACCTATCCAGCATGCAAAAGTATGAAATCGAGATGTTTGCAAAAAATATAGAAGGAAACTCACTTCACACAGAGACTCTGCATTTTAAAACTAAAGGTTATCTCGATTTTTTGTATTTATTTGAAATACTTTAAAATTGTTGAAAGTAACAAATAAAATAGAAATGTATGTTCATATGGAAGGGTATTCACGCAAAAATTGCATCTTGCCTTCTTACGTTACATTGTGCCTTCTGACTTGTAAATCTTGGATTCTTACTATTACATTTTGCATAATGACAGGCACACAATGCATTCTGGCTTGCACATCTTTCATTATGACTTGCACATTTTGCTTTAAATTGCATGAATCGTTCGTTATTTGACTATCTTCAAATTTGTCTACGTTAAAGTTATAAATTAGTTCAGTTTAATTATAATGATCTAAACTGTCTATATTTAATGTGTACAAAAAATAGGAAACCTATGTTAATCGATTATACATGTATAAATAATACATGGAAGCACACACTGTGTGCAATTCAACAAGGCAGGTTGCAAACTACAATTTTGTTTACGACAGAGGGCACAAGTGAGGAAATATGTACGGAACCATACGGTAATTACCGAAAATATACGAGTATCCGGAATATCGATCACAAAAGTTATGCCCCTTATTTTCAATTTAGCCATAATCTTATTTGTTACGGTTGATGTCATGTGGTTGATTTTTTTATCATCTGATCATTTGATAAGTTTTTTTATGGCCAAAGCACTTTGAACAACTGTTATATCTTATAATTATTTTGTTGATAAAAATATAATTCTAAAAGATTGGTTAAATCGTTTTGTATATATGATTACCTTATTTCCTCCATAGTGGAAATGGAAATTTTAAAACAAAGGGACGTAACTTGGTAAACTGAATCCGAACTGCAATACTAGCATAATTTGGGTGTCACATATTATTACACCATGTGTCGTGTCGTATTATGCATGCTGCATTCGGCTTTCGACTATCCGTCATTCTAACTTATGACATTCGTCATTCAAGCTGAGTAAATAGACCCAAATACAGACAGTTGCATTTAATATACCAGATCAACAAATGTATAATAACTGATCGTTAAATAAACGATATCAACATACAATTAAGCAAGACTCACACAACAGAAAGCATAATGTGCATGTAAGGGGGCATTATGTAAAAGTCAGAATGCAAGATGTACAAGTCAGAATCCAAGATGTACAAGTCAGAAAGCAAGATGTACAAGTTAGAAAGCAAGATGTAACGTAAGAAAGCAAGATGTTATTTTTGCGTTAATACCCTTCCATATGTTCAGGTTGGTTCTAAATTTTTACCTTTCGCAAATTCATTGTTGAAAATACATGTACGATCATAGTATTATGACATACTTTTGATTTCTTTTAAGAATAAAACATGCGCTGAAGCTTGCATAAGCTATCTTTAAAAGTTTTTTCAGGAACGTGCAAATATTCAGTTTATTGGATTAATGAATTTTGTTTTAAATTAAATGTATATACGCATGTTAATGCTATATTTGTCCACTTAACATGCAACATTTTATCTTGTTTATGCCGTAGATAAACAAATAACATGCATTTGAAACCATGTGTTAGAAGGTTCTTTGCGTCATTTCGAATTAAAAACTTGTGTTCTGGATTTGTTTTTGCAAATCTAGTATTTTAATGCTTAATATTATACAGTTTCGTTCAGACGATACAACAATAACAGTTAATCGGAACGTAATGTTCTATATTTTCCCAAATACTCCAAGTACTTTCAATTAAATCAAATACTGTATCAGTTCTTCTCACCATTTACTTTTTAAAACAATATTACCGTCAGGCCTAATTGACCATGAGCCTAAAACGGTGAAAGTGTGTTTGCACAAGGAAATCTCATATTTGCTGTGTTCCGGATAGCAACTATGACACTGTGACGCATACACGAGCTGATTATAGTCTTTCATTTGCATGTTAAAATTCTTGTACGAACTTTGGGTATTCCGTAAAAAATCGTAATTTATGAACAATATTGAAGAGATTTACAACAATACCATAAATACTGTTAAAATGATAAATGCAACTGTAAATGCTTGTTTTTAAAGCCGACGACAAAATATTGTTACATATTTACTTAATGCAGCTTTAACACAGACTTTCACTTATTTATTTTTTTTTTCTTTGATATTGTGAGAAGAGTAAACTATCATTGTTCAATTTAAGCAATCATTAACAAGATTGAGGAAACGGAGACAACGCATTCTTCGAACACTGGACTGTTAGTTGGTGTAGGAGTCGGTGCGTCTATTGGCACACTCGCCTTTGTTGCTGTGGCTTTTATCGGATACAAACGATTTAAGTAAGTGTTTTTTTCTCATTAAACATATAACATGTTTGAGTTTTGCATTTCACAAACAATCATTTGTAAGCAATGCATGATATCATCATTTCAATGTCTCAAACCTTTTAAGCAATAACTAAATCCCTATAATTATATTTTAAGGGATGGATACATTCATTTAATTAACATAAATCCGTTCATTTCAAATATTTGAAACTTCTGTAGCTATCTTGGTGTGTTTCATTTTTTTGAGTGCATAATTTCTCTGTGTCTTCTGATTTAAGTAATTTACATGTAAAAACGGAATTCAACCATCTACATGCATGTACAAAAGTGTATATTGAAAACAATCATAATAGGAACATAGAGTCTCGCATTTTCTAGATTAAACATCATACCTCTGAACATTATGTATGGCATAATGTTATAAGTTTACAATTATAAAACATAAAAAAAAATAAAAATATATATGGGTCAATTTATTTTTGATATTTTGGCTGACCTTTTCATATAAACTATCGGCAGCAATAAATACAAACACCAGATGATGTCCAGATAGTTTACTTAACATGTATGTACTAAATAAAACTTTAAAGCTTATTTATTTCCTCTTATCACATAAATGGCTTTCATTTCGTTGGCTTCGGATTTGATGTTTTATTTTGAATGTTTTGATTTTTCATTTTGCATGATACCTTTGACTACAAAATAACTATGACAAATAACTATGACAGCTTTTCTTGAAAATAATATAAATTCTCTTATAACAATATACTCTTATTACAGATAGAATAGTCTTTTCTTCTTTGTTATCATTGCTGTTGAGACAAATGAATCTTAACAATAACTATTTTCAGGAATATGAGACATTCACGTCATGACAGTCCAAAATCAGGTAACTGGTATTTAAGATTTAAAGTGAATAATGTCCTTTCTTCCTGTTTGTTTAACTTTTCGTGTCTTTTTTTCCCCGTTTGTTTCTGTTGTTCTGTGTATAAGTTTTTGAAAGAGAATTGTCTTAATAGTGAAGCTTGCCAACGTGAACCTTTCGTATAGTGTCTATGCTTACATATTCAAACATTAAAATAAACTAGTAACTAAATGAAACCGTATGGTATGACTGTTTAATATTTATACAAATGACGTAAATAGTATCTTATCATTTAATTTGCATTTTTTTTAATTGTTCATCATTTTGGTATAACTTCGACAGTTTTATAAAAAAATGAAAATTTACTACGATATGATCATTTATTTAGGTATTACTGTCGGAGTCAATGCCACATCCAATTACACGGATTTAGATACAAGCAGGAGAGATAGGAATGTTTATGATGAGTTCAATGCGCCTTCTACAAGTACATACGAGCGACTGAATACATCGACTCGAGAGATAACTACATATATGGAGTTGAAAAATACAACTGTGCCTAATGCTGACACTTCCGACTACGTAAATATAAGAATATAAAACAAATCAAATTACATAATATTGTACAACGTAGCAGTTATAAAATATTAGCACAGTTTGTAAAAAATCGATTTATTTTAATGTAAAGGCAACAACTTTCCGTGGTACTAACATAAATGTCATTTAAACCAATTTATTTTAGTAATAGTTGTTATTCATTAAATGTTATGCATTAAATTCTTTGATGATTATAGAAAAGACCATATTTTTAAAAAATGCCTTTGTAAATAATTGACTTTGAACAAAAATTCTAAAATTTTAAATCGTCATATCAAAGTCATTATTTTGTCAAACTTTTGGAATAAAAACATAATTAATACATCTTGGTCTCAGATTTTTTTCTCAAAAAATATTGCGTAACGTTAATCATTTTATGCGACTTATTTAACCATACATATTACGTAATTAAAGATAATTAAGTCTCTGATTGAGCAAACAAAAATTCCTGGCACGGTTCCCTCCGTAAATGAATTTCCTTTCATGTGCTTTAAACCGCATGTAAATTGCTTGATTATTAAAAACAGTTATGCCGATTTAAAGTTAGTCCGACCAGCATCAAACGAAGTGACATAAATCGGCTGTTCTCACTCAGACCCTTACGTTTCACGCTAAATTATTGCATAACAAAAATATCGCGCCAAAGGGAGTCACAAGTTGCACTAACATACTCTTACAACTTTTTATGACCCAGTGACATATGACCAATTAAAAAGCTGCTGATTAATATCATTTAATAGCAGAAATTTCTTCAAATATTACGTGATTAACTTTCCGTCTGGTATCTGTCCACATGTCACGTGACACATTGGGGTGTTCGATTTACTGACGAACAGTTTATTCAAAGCATTCACTGATAATATACTTCCATGTATTTTCTATTGATTTATAGAGAAATAATCATTCGCAGTCTATCGTAAAAATAGTTAAGAAATTTTCCAGGAACACATAATCTTCCGTCATATATAAGCTTTTACATAATAAAGATGTCTGTTTTTAGTGTGGTTATTTTTGACATTGTTATAGAACGAGGTTGAATTTTAAGCAAGCTCTTGAATCCGTAGAGAAGTCCATAAACTCAAATTTATATCTATCAGGTTGTTATTTCACACATAAACGATAGCAACTACATTGTTATAACCATCCCCGTGGTCGGTGCGATTTGCCACAATGCTAAATTATTTATGTCACCTTTGCCGACAATATCTTAATTTATAAAAAAGGCTAAATAAAAGGAAAACGATATAATGTTGAGATATTCATAAAATATTACGGTATTTGTATGATACATTAATTACGAGTAGTATCGACTAAATACAAATAAAGGGGTAATTCGCGGATATATATGAAACTACCAATTCCCTTCATTGATGCCGCAACAGGGGGGGGGGGGCGTTACCGATAATTGACAGGTTGCACTTATAGCATATTAAAACGGTATGGGTACCATTTTAAAACGTTTTAAAACATAGTTTCTTGCCTAATTGCTTCCAAAATTAAAAAAATTAAATCACGAATGTGTTTAGAAAAGGTTGATACATCTACTTGGCTAAAAATCTCATTTTATGTATTGTTAGTGATAATTGACTACGTTGTCACCTGAAGTAGTGAAATATGTATGACAAATTCACTGTTGAATGGTCAAGTTAGTCTTATGTGACATATTTTTTTTCTCTAGAATACAGCAATACTGACAGAGAAACAAATAAAGTCACATAAAATTTGCGAGTCATATAGTCTTGCAAATGATTAGATGAAACATGTTTGTAGATCTAATTATCAAGTCTATATCACTTTTTATTATATTTATTAATAATATGTATATTAATGATTAAAACTAAATTGTATAAGTCAGAATTAGTGGCATTTTATTCTCAGCTTGAGTATTAAAAATAAATATAAGTTATGCTTTTTTAAAGATCCTGTATGTTTTGGTCAAAGTGGTAAACCACACTGAGTGGAATTATATATAATATGTAGATGAACTATGCCAAATAATTTTTTTTTTCAAAAATCAAAGAATATGTAAAATATGTACTGCAAATATTTGTGCATATTGTGTGTAATCATTAATTTTGATCAGAGACTTTTTTTAAATGACCTAAAGCAACAAAGACGTCTCTAACTTTACGGGCAATATTTGTCTAGTATATTTATACTAAATGTAAAGCTCCTTTTTACTCTTATCAGATATATTTTCGGAAATAAAACAATGAACCTGAATATACATGTATCATACCCTGTAAGTTAAAAATGAATATAGAATGTCTGGAACGGTTATCATTATACTAATAATGGATATAAAATAACATACAGAATTATTGTAATGTGTTTCATATAGTTTGTTATACAAATTGCATGCAAGAACTCTATCAATATTCATCCCCCTTGTATTATACTAAAGAGCACTATTGCAATATATTGACCACCAATCCCGGTCATACTTTATTAAAGACGAAAGGAAAGGAAATAATGTTAACATTATGTCAGGACTTCTTCACAATTATTGTAGTGCATCATTATTTCACACATTCAACAAGTATCTACATCTTCTAAACAAATTTTGAACTATTGACCCGGGCCTGTAATTTTTGATACACCGATCTCGAAAACAATACAGAACCACAGTGGAGTACTATCAGTTTAAATAGATTATCGTGAAAACTATATCTGCATTTATTTAAGAGTTCAAAACCAATAACGCACCACCGGAATGTTTAAGCGCGTGTGAGCGTTAAGCCTTATTTCAAAGAGAAACCACGGTGTCGTTCCGGATAGGATATCAGAAGTAGAAGTACATTGGTTGCTAAACTTGCTTCACTTTACGACCTCTTCACGCCTTTTTAGTTTTGTAACATGGGGTATTCAATTATCGTGGTAAATTGTCTAAAAAGCATCTAATAAGTATTAATCAAAATACATGTAAAGATATTGGGGACAATAACGAAAGACAGTTTTTGTTTTGTTTATTTTGTTCTTGGTAGATAACAGCGATCTATAATTAATTAAAATTTAATGATGAATGTAACACTACATATTCTTTATCCGAAATTTCACATTTAGTATGTTTCTCTTATTATTGCATTATTTTTACCTTTCATCACAGTGTTAACCAAATATTTTTACCTACTTTATGCGATATAACTCATACAAGTACAAGGATGTTAACCTTTTGCATATTTTCGTTCAGCTAACAGCTACGGAGCTTACAAATACATACATTTAATTAATTTTGTTTAAAATAACGTGGCACGGGCTTTTAAGTGCTTTACTTTGATTTACCTTGTAATTGTCAAGGTTCAGAACTGTTAACGTTTAGGAGAAATGATGTGGAAGAGGCCGGATAGCTCAGTCGGTAGAGCCGTTGTTCTGTAATCCGAGGGTCGCGGGTTCCAGTTCTGGTTAGACTGCACATTTTTTTCATCCGGAGACATTTGGCGCCAAACGGGGGCCGTGACTCAGAGATTAATTTACAATGCTTAGTAACTCTTTGAAACTCGAGGACGATTTTCAAATACAAACGGGAAAATGTCAAGGTTCAGAACTGCTCACTATTTAGGGGAGTTGGTAAAGCCTTTGTACGGTATTCCAAGGGTCTCGAGTTCTTATCCTAGTCAGGCTGCACACTTTTAAACCCTTCAAATAAAAGTAACCGTTTGTTCACATTTCAACAGACATATTATAAAACATTGAATGATAATGTTTGTTAATAAGCACCATGGAAAATATTAATAATAATAATACTTAAAATAACATAATATCATACATGTATATAATTACCACTCACTATTTTGTAATGTTAATTTTCCATTGGTCACTAGGTGTTTTTCTTACTGTTAAAGCAAGTGTACCATGTGACAAAGAAATTTGTACTGCTACAGTGTAACAATACTAATTAACAGTTTATAAATCTGATAACGTGTTTTTTATTCAACTTGCAAGGTAAGGAAAGTTGAGATATTGGCTCGTATTCAGAAACGATACTTAATCTCAATCTCGACTTAAACTCACCAAAGGTCACCTCAAGTAACGTTGGAGTAGACTTACGGAAAGTATCTCACAATGTGAAAAGTAGTATTCATTTTGTTGACTCAACCTTACCTCTCGTAAGGGAGACTTCAAAAGTTGCCCGATCCGTTTTATAGCATAACATCACTTAATATACATTGTAAAACTATAACTATGTCGTTTAAAAGTGTTTTGAACCGAAGTGGAAAAATGTGTTAAATAATTCATTATAAAAAATCTTAATGTAAAAGAACAAAAAAATATTCAAATATACGTTCGATAACATAGCATGAGGAGTTATTTAGAGAGGATTTAATAGTTTTCAAGAAGTAAATGCTAGAATAGCAGAATAATGTTGTAAAACCTTAAAGACAGGACGACAAAAAAGAAGCTTAAAACAAAAGTGAAAAGACTTCTGAAAGAAATTTAGATTTTTTTTATTTCAATAGCGTAAGCTATATTTTGAAAGTAGCATCCATTTTTGATGTCAATTAATTTGTTTGCAATACACAATAATGTTTTCTTTTTTAATTATCTGATGACTTTTTTAAAGGACCATTATGCCTCAGAAATTCTATCATTTTTATTTCTCAATTTTTTTTCAAAGGGTATGGTCATACCGCATTATCATTTTGTATGGAAGTCAAAATACAACATGGTCTACATTTTTCTACCATCCTAAGACATTACTATACATTAAGTGCAACTTTAAATAGTTTTTAATTACCTTTCTAAAGAATTGAAAAAGAAAGAGGCATAAAACATGCCTTTAACCCCCAAGACTGTTTTTATTTAAATGCTTTGTCGTCGTTTGGCAATTTGGCCCCAAATATAGAAATCCTTAAACAATTTTTAAAAAATCAAATTAATGGGGGTTTTTGGGTACACCAAAACCCCCCCCCCCAAAAAAAAACAAAAACAAAAGAAACAAACAGAACCCCAACCTTGTTTTGATTGTGATTGGCTGGGGAATACCCCGGTAAAACCATTTAATACATCTGTTATTAAAGTTAGCAAAACTGGGATGAAACACCCATACTTGGGGGTTTTAGTTTAAAGTGTACATTAAATCAATACCCTAAACCCCAAATGTTCCCCAAGGGATATTTGCCTACGTGGATTTTGATTTTTTAATCAAAATATACAGCCATCAACGTAAACTATATGCTGTGGTTATTCTTGACGCCATAAGAATTTTTTATGTCATTTTTCCTTTGAAATATCTTTAAATATATGGATTGGGAATTCTATGTCAATCCAAAAATCCAAACAGTATGATATAACTTGTATCTAACTGTTATTTATAATTTTAAAAAATCGAACTTGAAATCGTATAAGTCCATTTCGTTTTGGCATAGGTATTGGTATTCCGCCAGTGATTTTTTTTCCTGTATTTTACAGCTGAATTAAGGCTGTTTCCCCTAGCCCAAAATATGTATATTTTCACCTAAAGATGCGAATATTTCCCCTAAAATGCCCTGTGCAAATTCATTAACAGAACCATGACATAACGGCAGCTGAGCTAGAAGACAGACAGCTATCCCTATAGGTAGCCTCTGCTCAGAAGCATACATGTTAAATTGTAATGAATTGAAAGTTTATAAAATGTGTTGGTAAATTTCATTCTCAGTTGTTGGAATTCGATTTTCCCCTTTTCTGATTTATCACGCTATATTTTCCCCTTCAGAAAGCCACAGGTAAGGTTTTGAAAATTGAAAAAATCACTTCCTGCGAGCTGAATACACTCCTAATTAGTTC